GCCAGCCCCCAATCACCAGAGTCCCTCTCTGACCCTCCCCTGCCTAGTGAGACAGCAACTCCAGCCTTCTCTACCTTCAGAGGGCCACATCTGGACTCCTTCCCCAGGCTCTGGAGTAAGGCTGTGGGGTGCTGAGGTGGGCTGCAGCAGTTACGGTGGGGCCATGGATCTCCAGGGCTGTGGCTAGCAGTAACCTGCTCCCTGGTCATTTCTGAGTTGAGCTCCTGTGTTGTCCTACTTTCCCTCCTCTCCCTGGTCCCTGTGCTCAGTTGACTTGCAGGGGGGACAAAGTAGGCTCCCACTGGCAAAAAGGGCTGCCAGAGGGGACCCCAGGGAAGGCCCAGCTGGCTTGGTTTGCTCCTTTAAGAGCAGCTTGGAGGTGGGGCCACCTGTCATTGGCTCAGTCACAGGCTTCTGACTGAGGGATGTGTGTGTGTGTATGTATATGTATGTGTATGTATGTTGTGGTGGTGCGCGGCTCTTGGCACGTTTTGTCAATAACTTTAAACTCTTTAGTCTCCTGGCTCTGATCCCACCTGCCCCTTCCCTGAGATGGGAAGAGCAACTTTTCCTTGTCACTCTCCTGTTGTCCCTGAGGGCTGAGGCTTTCCCTTGTGGGGACAGGAGAGCCCTGGGGCCGGAGGATTTTTCCACCCCCCAAGGTGTGTGTATGTGGTGGAAGGGGGGGTGCCTTAAAGGGCAGGTTGCTGTTTCTATGCCCAGCCTTCACGTGCATGGTGGGAGAACCTGTGCGAGCGTGTACAGGGCAGGGCGGAGTGGAGGGGGTGGGGTTCTGAGTCAGCAGATACTGCACTGGGCACAGGGGAGGCAGGCCTGGCCCCCAGGGCCTTCCATGCATCTGCTTTTCAGACCAGTACTAGGTAAACAGGCACCTGTGTTGATTTCACGTTCACAGTGGAATGGACAATCAGCTGGAGAACTCAGGTTGACCCTTGACCTGAGTCCTGAACTACAGGGCGGGTCAGGGGGAAGAGTGTCCCAGGCAGGTGCAAAGGCCTTGTGGTGGGATGCAGAGTGATGGGGTTGGGGACCTTGGTGACTGTGATCAGGAATTTGTATTTTCTCTGGATGCAATGGAGAGCTAAAAAAAAAAAAAAAAAGGGTCTCTGGCTGCTGTGTGGGATGGATTATGGAAGAAGAGGGTGCAGCCCTGGACCCCTTCCCTCACCCATCCTCGTGCAGAATCAGCACAATTGGATTCCTAACTGGGAAGGCCTTGCCTATCTCTAATCAGTGACTCACTGGTTCCAAGCCTCCTGTGCCATGGCCACATTCTTTCCTCCCAGGGATGTGGTTGCTCAGAGTGCTGACCTATCTACAGGGAGTGAGCAGTGCAAAGAAGGCTCTTGCCCCTGAACCTTGGGGTGTAGGGGCCAGGGTTTTCCCTGGGGCTTTCTCACTAACCGTACCCTGGTGCTGCCAGAGAGACAGTCTTCAGCTTCTCCACTGCTCTGAGGCCAGAGATGGTGGCAGCCCTCCTGGCCTTTCTCTCCCAGGGCAGGTTCTGTGGTGGATCAGGTGCATGTGCTTAATGCAGAGCAGGTTAACATCCGCACTAGGGTGAGCCCTGGGGATAACGTGTTGGGAGGAGGATGAGAGACTGAATCAGCCTAGCCTGCTGAGGTGTGCTTGACAAGCCTCCTGTTTCGGCAGCACTGATCTGTTTGATCATGAAGGTTTATCATGATCTTGGTAACTGCCATGCTGGGTGGGGTCCATGGTGTAGCTGAGTGTTGGTGGGGAGCAGAAGCCAGCAGTTGTACCTGGGTGGAGGGGTCAAGACAGATGGTCCCCAACTGGGGAAAAGTGGAAAGGCCCTTGCGCCTGTCTTCTCCTGTTTGCCTCCTTCCTCATCCAGAGCCCCAAGTGGCTTTGGGCAGAAGTTTTAAATGGTATTTCAGCCTGTGCTTTGGTTCTTGGTCATGTGGTAGGCACTGTGCTGGCTGACTTCCCAGACGTTTGTTATCTTGTTGAATTTCCACAACAACCTGTGAAGTAGCTGTCTGCTCCATTTCATGGATGAGAAATCTGAGACAGGGAAGTTAAGTCACCTGCCTGATGTCACAGCTCATGTGGCGGCTCTGAGACTTGAACCAGGGAATTGGGTCTGCAGAAGTGGCTGGGCCTTTTGTTTTACCCCACAGCCACCTTTCTGTTAGTTGCCTCATGGCAAACATCCCCTGGGCCCTGGCCACAGCATGGTGGGGGCTGGGCCAGGGGAGTGGCAGCTGTCCGGCAGAGGAGACGAGAACCCTGTAGCCAGACCTATACACACAGAAACTAAAGCCTGGAATGAGTCTGGTTAGGTCTTTCGGGATCTGGAACCTCCAAAGTTATGCTGTCAGAGGGATTAATTGCTACTGCTGTAAACAGAGAACATGTTTATTACCCCCATTTTACAGATGAGGCAGTTGAGATCCATTCAGGCGATGTGACCGTCCAGGGTTACCTAGCAAGTTATCCCTAGAGTTGGAATTAGGTCTCACTTTTTATTCAGACTCTAGGTTTTGGTTCAGATGTGTCTGGAACAGGTAATTTATTTAGTGAGGATTCTTTGTAGTCAAGGGCAGCAGTTCCAACATTACTGCACATTAGAATTACCTGGAGAATGTTAAAAAATTCTAGGCCCTACCTTAGCACCGAGTACATCAGAACCTCTGAGGTGAGCCTGGGCATCCCGGTTGCAAAGCTCCTCCGGTGATTCCCCTCTGCAGCAAGGGTGAGAACCCCTGGTCTAGGGCTGTGAGGTCCCGTCCCTGCACAGCGGGAAACGTGTAAATTGGTTTACTTTCTGGAAATGTTTGAGGTGGGGTTGGGGTATCTTTTAAAAAATCAAGCCCTCAGCTGTTGATTGAGTCCATCTGGGTGCCAAGGAATCAAGGGAAATACAAGGGGCTGGGAGGGGTGAGACAGGAGGGTAATGGCTGCTCCCTCAAATGTGCCTGTGTAGCCCCAGTAAACCCACCTCCCTCCGTCTCTGCCAGGCCATGGTGGCGTGTTACCCAGGCAACGGGCTGGGGTACGTGAGGCACGTTGACAATCCCCACGGCGATGGGCGCTGCATCACCTGTATCTATTACCTGAATCAGAACTGGGACGTTAAGGTAGGGGGTGGGGCGAGGGTGGGGCGAGGGTGGGCTGGGGCGGTGTGCATCCACTCCATTTTCCGCTCCCTGCTCAGATCCTGGCATTTTCCTGTGCTTTTCTCAACCCACAGGGGGGCGGTGCGGTTTGCCGGCCCTTCCTGGGAAATGGCACCTCCTCTCCGGCTGACTGTGGTGGGAACTCCCCCCCTTTCCGGGAATGGTGCTGTCTGCCCAGCCCCACCCGGCCTTGTAATGAACACTCTCCCCCTTTTCCTGTCTTTAGTAGCTTCCTGCCCATCTCCATGGTGATGCAGACTCTGGGTTGTCATTCATTTTAAGAGCCTGAGTGGTGGGAGGGAGTGATGCCTGCTGACACTGCGCCCCCTGGTGGGCTCCTGGGGGCCAGTGCAAGGCAGAGGCTCCCGGCAGGACCAGCCGGCCTCATCCTCTGGCCCGCCCCCAGGTGCATGGCGGCCTGCTGCAGATCTTCCCTGAGGGCCGGCCTGTGGTAGCCAACATCGAACCACTCTTTGACCGGTTGCTCATTTTCTGGTCTGACCGGCGGAACCCCCACGAGGTGAAGCCAGCCTATGCTACCAGGTAGGACCCGTAGTTCTGGGGATGTGCCCAGGTGCTCCCTCTGCCAGCAAAGTCCTGTCAGACCCTCAGAGTGACTAGGAGTGATGAAGTGCTGAGAGGGGGTCTAGGTGGGACCAGAACCAGGTGGCTCAAGAGGGTGGCCTCTAGTGTCACTGGCTATGTGGCTGGAATTGCAGAAAACTGATCTCCAACCTCCCTGGTCCCCAGGTACGCCATCACTGTCTGGTATTTTGATGCCAAGGAGCGGGCAGCAGCCAAAGACAAGTATCAGCTAGGTACCTGTCCCACCTCCCTAGCCCTTCCTATTCCATGTATCCCACCAGGCCTCAAGCCACCCCTTCCCACCTCATCAGTCTTTTACTAAATCCCAGCATGCATCTTTCCTCATCTCTGCCCACCTTCCTTAGACACCCCACTCTCTTGGTCCCCGCAACATGAGCCCCGTTTTCTTCCTGGTCCTCTCCCCATCTTCCCAGGTTTCCCTTGGCCTTTTTGTCTCTTCCCTGATGACTCACTATCTTCTGTCCCCTTCTCATCCCCAGCATCGGGACAGAAAGGTGTCCAAGTACCTGTATCACAGCAGACTACGCCCACCTAGTGGCCAGCCCCAGAGCTCCATGGACAGATGACTTGCCCTGACTTCAGAAGAGCCTTGGGCCCTGAGCTGGCAGCCCACCAGTCTCTGGTGCCTGCTCCTTCCCTGCCATCACTGCTGCTTCTGACTTTGCCTCTGTCCTGCCTGGCGTGGAGGGCTCTGTCCATCGATGAGGACAAAGAAGGAGAGACCTCTGCTGCCCCTTGATGGGGGCTGGGGTTGTGACCTGGGCAGGAGCCAGCATTTGGGGGATACCCTTACTGAAACTGGGGGTTCTGTGTCCTGCCCTGTCTGGTCACACCCCTGTTAGGTGTGGAGAGCTGGGAGGAGGCATTGTCACCTCCCACCAGGATGCAGGATTTGGGGTTGGGGTGAGTCATGGCCTCTTGCTGGCAAAAGTTTGTGGGGGGAGTCCCCAAGTCCCCTCACTCCTGCAGCCTGGAATGTGAAGTGACTCCCCAACCCCATTGGCCACGGCACCTTGTGGATTGGGTTGCCACTCCTTGGGCAGGGTAGAAGGTGCCTGGAGGAGCATGGGTGTGGAAGTCCTGTAGCCAAGAAATAAAAGTTTACCTCAGAGCTGCACACATCTGACTCCTCTCCGTAATGAGACCTCCATCTGCAGTTCAGGGCTTTTACTGACCAAGGAGGGTTAGGAGGTCTGAGTGCTAGTGTGCGCAGGGTGGCGGAGCCTGACCTCAGCCGGCCACTAGGCAAAGCCGGAAGGCTGGGGGGACGTGGCCCAGGCCAGTGCAGTGCGGGGTGAGGTCCATGTTGGCGGGATTCCCCACAGGGAGCAGGCAGAACCTCTGTAGGATGGCCGTAAAGAAGAGGAAGATTTCCGAGCGGGCCAGGCCTGCGCCCAGGCACATCCGCTTTCGTGGGTACACAGGGGTGCAGAGTAAGCAGCTGTGCACCCCAGAACCGGTCCAGGCTTGTCCCCTCCCTCTTTAGCCCGGACCTGGGGCAAAGGGCATGAAAGCGTCATTGCTCTGGAACTCGCCCTTGTCGTCCAGGAAGTTGGTAGGGTTGAAGCAGTCCGGGTCCTTGAATTGGGTGGGGTCCCGGTGCGCAGGCACAAGCAGGGGAATCACGAAGGTACCCTGGGGGTAAGCACAACTAGTGTCAACCGCAGGATTGACGAGCATGCGCGCCTCTTCCATTTTAGGCCTTTTTTAAAAGCCCGCGGGAGGTGGGCGGGCCTGCCTGCCTTCCCCCAGGGTCACTGTGCATCAATCAGCACTGCGCACGCCCATTCCGGCTGATCTCAGCCAATAGGCGCTCCTGTCCCTGGGCCCCGCGCAGAATCCTCGGACTCCCGGTACCTTGGGCAGAAAGTGGCCGTGCAGGTGGGCGTCGCGGGTGAGGGCGTGCGGCAGTCCCAGCGGCAGCACGCTGATGAAGCGCTGGATCTCGTGTAGCACGGCGATGATGTAGGGCAGGCGCACGCGGTCCTCCAGTCTGGGGGCGCGCGCCCGACCTACCACGGCGTCCACCTCCGCCTGCACCTTGGCTGGGGCCGGGGGAAACTGTGAGCCACACACTTCCCGAATCCTCCAGCCATCCCCAAACCCCAGCACCTCATCCTGGGCCTCTCCAGCTTGCAGACCTGCCGCCTCTGGGTACTTGAGCAGAATGAGAAGCCCATAGCGCAGAGTGGTGCTCGTGGTCTCACTGACGCCAAAAAAAAGGTTGTGCGTCGTCATCACCAACGTTTCCTCCTGGAAATGGCTCTCTGGGTCCTGCTGTTCCTGTGGGCAGAGAGGACAGGCGCTGCCACTGTGCCGGCCACCTGTTGGTGGGCAGCATGGATAGGGTTTAGGGTAGCAAGGAACCGCACCGTATCCATCTGGTCGAGGAAGCAATCGATGAAGTCGCGGGGCTCCCCAGGCTGCCGCGTCTGCTGGTGCCGCTGGATTTGCTCAGAGATGAAGACCCGAAGCTCCGCAAAATTTCGGAAGATTCGGTGATGCGGGCCCGGGAGCCAGTCCAGGAGGGAGGGGAAAATGTTGTACATCTGGGGAGACAGGAGCTCAACAGGACCTTGGACAAGGCCACTAGGACTTAGTTTCCCTATGGGGAGACTGGACAAGGACTTTGATATTGTAGGTTCTAGAACTCTTCCATTCCAAGAAACTAAGACTGTCTCATTCTAATGATCCGTTATAGCCATGTGCTGAGGGTTTGGCAGGAAGTTGAGCATATGAGGGAGAGATTGTGGCGGGCCCTCTAACCTCCGCCCGTCCGGAACTCATTATGCGGAAGTTGTCATCGAAGAGGTCCAGGAGCCTCAGGAACTCCGGCCCTCCGTAGCCATAGCGTTTTCCGAAGACCACAGAACAGATAACGTTGGATACCGCATTACCCAGGAGCCGCCGGGGGTCGAACGGGGTTCCTGAGGGGGGTCGGGGCGGCAACAGGGCGGGGTCATACGCTGTGTCCGGGTCCCCAGCTAGCTCCTTGGGCTTATTGGTTTTATTCCACCCAAACGCCTTCCCGTGGCCCCTCCTTGGCAGTCCCTTAGCCACACCCACACCAGGCCCTTCTGCTTTCCAGGCCAGGCCGCACCAACGGTGGCTTGAAATTCCCTAAGCAGACAAGTCGCCTCCTCCAGGACGTGCTCCTCGATGGTCCGCGTGCCCAGCCCGAGCTGCTTCAGCGCTCCAAGTGCAAAATTGCGCAGTGCTCGCCAGCGCGGCCCATTGGAAAACACGATGCCTATGGTGGGGAGAGAAAAGGAGGCGGGCCAGGGAGTTGGCCACGCCCCTCCCCGGAAGCGACCAGTCAGTAGCTACACCCTTTTCGAGTCCCCCAACTCCTGGAGCTGACTTTTCTCCTTTGACCACTTGGCTGCCAAGCTCCTCGGCCCTGCCCACGTGTTGACCGCAGCCTTTGCTGGTGCGGGTCCCTGGCCTGTGCTTGCTGCCTTTGGCTTGACTCCTCCGATTCCGCCTACGCTTTAGCTCTGCCCCACCCTCTTCGCCGTCTGCCCCCAGTTAGCTTGATTCTGTTAGGCCCCGCCCCATCTGCCCGGCTCCACCATTTATCTGCCCAACCTGGAGGGTTCAGGCCCTCGCTTCCAGCTCCTGGGCCTCACCGTTTCCGCGCGTGAAGCGATCGAAGACTGCCATGGCCCCGCGGCCAGAGAACGCATCCGCCTGCAGCACTAACGCGTCCCGCAGCGCCGCGTAGCCGCACAGCACCGCTGCCGGGCGCGGGCCCAGTCGCACCGTGAACGCCGAGCCCCAGCGGCGGGACAGCTACGGGGAGCCAGCCGGTGCTCAGCGGTCCGGTCCGGGCCCCTCACCGGAGACCCCGCCCCCAGCGTCCTCCACCTCCAGACTCGGGAGTCCCAGGCTCAGCCCCTCATTCCTCAGGTCCAGGAGTTCAGATCCGCAGCTCCTTCCTCCTTCAGATGCAGGAGTCCAGGCCCGCACTTCCCTCGGGGCCTAGAAGTCCAGGTCCGCAGCCTCCTCCACCCTCATAACTGGCGTCCAGGCCCTCAGTACTCGCACTCCGCACCTTGAACCAGGAAAACGGACCCTCTGCTCCCTCACCCTAGGCTCTTCCTCCCTCGCAACCCAGGTGTCCAGGCCCAGAGCTTCCCACTCCTCAGTCTCCTCCTTTTCTGGAACTCGAGAGTCACTGAGTCCGATCCCCCAGCTGTCTTCATCCAGGCAACCAAGAGTTCTAGCACCCAGCCCCGCCTCCACGAATACAGAAAATTCTGTTCCCCCACCCACTGTCGGGCTCACCTCCATGAGCGCACGGTCCAGGCGTCCGGACTGCAGCTGCAGCAAGTTCCCCAGTAACGGGAGAGGTCTGGGCCCGGGAGGTAGAGCGCCCCGCATCTGAGCGGGTCGCGCACCCCAACCCCACCACGCTAGTGCCAGCACCAGGAGCAGCAACAGCAGCCCTGCCATGTCCGTGATCATCATGCCTGCGCTCCTGATGCCTGTGTGCCTTCACCTCTGTTTAATTTGCAACGAGTCTTGGGTGGAGCAGGGGTGGAGACTGGTGTGGGAGGGGTGGACATCTTTGGGCTGCTCACTCCACAGGTTTCCCAGGCCAAGGTCTCTACTCTGCCCCCCAGCCCTAGCCCTGCTGTGCCCTGGCTCAGCCTACTCTATTTGGCAACTTTCATGTCAATACACCTGGCCAACAGGTGCACCCTCCTAAGCCCCTAGCACCCTTGGTTCCATCTTACTTGGCCTGTAGATGTGTATTCCTCAATCTCCCAGCAACCTCTGGGCCCCCTGAATGCCGTACCCTGTACCTCTGATTCCTAAATACACTCCTCGCTCCTGAGTACACTTTTTTTGTTTGAAAAATTTTTTAAATTTCAAAATATTGGGGTGCAAGTATTTTTTTTACATGGGTGCATTGTTTAATGCTGAAGTCATGGCTTTTAGCGTACCTGCCACCAGAATAGCGTTCTTCTTCTTTTTTTTTTTTTTTTTTTGAGACAGAGTCTCACTCTCTTGTCTGGGGCGAGTGCTGTGGCGTCAGCTTAGCTCACAGCAACCTCAAACTCCTGGGCTCAAGGGATCCTTCTGCCTCAGCCTCCCGAGTAGCTGGGACTACAGGCACACGCCACCATGCCTGGCTAATTTTTTCTATATATTTTTAGCTGTCTGATTAATTTCTTTCTATTTTTAGTAAAGACGGGGTCTCGCTCTTGCTCAGGCTGGTCTCGAACTCCTGAGCTCAAACGATCCACCCGCCTCGGCCTCCCAGAGTGCTAGGATTACAGGCGTGAGCCACCGCGCCTGGCCCAGAATAGTGTTCTTTGTACCTCATAGGTAAGTTTTTAGCCCTCACTCCCCTACCCCTCCTTCTTGGTTTCCAATTTCCTTAACACCCCTTTGTACCCGTTTGTACCCATCATTTAACTCCCACTTATTAGTGAGAACATGAGGTGTTTGTTTTTCCTTTCCTGAGATAATTCACTTAGGATAGTGATCTCTAGTTCCATCCACGTTGCTGCAAAAGATACTGTTTTATTCCTTTTTATGGCCGAGTAGTACTCCGTGGCATATATATATATATACCACATTTTCTTTATCCACTCATAATTTATGGGCACTTATGTTATTTCCATATCTTTTCAATTGTCACTTGTGCTGCAATAAACATTTGAATGTAGGTGTCTTTTTGATAAAATGAATTCCTTTGGGTAAATACCCAGTAGTGGGATTGCTGAACTGAAGGTTTACTTTTATTTCTTTGAGGAATCTCCTAAGTACACTTCTGAAAACACCTCTGGCACTCTCGTACCCTGTGCTTGTGGTTCCCTGGGGTTCGCACCTGAGCCCTTGTCACTTCCATTGCTCTTGAACCCTGTATACTGTGCCTGCCCCCCAGATCCTCCCTGGAATCCTTTAGCTTCCTGGTGCCCATGATCCTGGCACTTCTGTGCCTATCTTTATGACTTCTGGGTCCCTTCCCACATGTCCCCTGCACCTCCATACTTATGCCTTGTCCTGAACTCCTACCATCTATTCCCAAGGCTCCGTGTCCTAGATGCCCCCACTTGTCCTACGTCCATGCTGCCGCACCCCCTGGTATCCAGTCCCCCAAGCCCCTCAGTGCACACCCCTATCTGAGGCTGCACCATAACAGCAGACAAATGTATCCCTCATTCTCTCCCGACCCCATCCTGGGACATCCTAGGGCTGGAGGGGGCAGACCCAGGCCCGGATGAGCCGGGGGTGGGTTGTGGGAGTGGTAGGGTGGCGCTAAGTTAGTACTTGGGAGAGACAGTTCAGGAGTGCGGCCCATCCTCCTTGCCCTGCCTTGCCATTTCTAGCCTTCCTCCAAGTGCCTGGCATAGGGCCCAGACCTGGGGAGGAGATGGCGGACCGTGTAGAGTCTCGGACTAGAATTTTCTCTGGGTGTTGTCTCTTGGTGTCTCCTTCACTCTCAGTCTCTGTGTTTCTCTGTTCATCTCTTTCCCTCCTCCCCGCCCCCCACTTTCTCTTTGTCTCCCGGGCTCTGCCTCTGCTCCTGTCTTTCTGTCTCTCTTTTTTCAAAATGTCTGTCTCTTTCTCTCTATCTCTTCCAGTCTGTGCTTCCCTGTCTCACTGTCTCTGTTTCTGCCAAGGGTCTTCCTACCTGTCAGCCTTTCTCTGTGCGGTAAGCCATGCTCTCCCTGGACCCTGCCCACCCCTCTGTGCCAGGCTCTCTCTGATGGACCCTCCGTGTTAGGGTCTCCGGCTTCCTCTCCGACTCCTGGCTCTTCCTCCGTTTTGCTCTGTTGGGCTCCTCTGGGATGCCAGCCCTTCAAGAGCAGGGATCTTTGTCCCGTTCTCTTCTGTATCCCCACACTTAAAATAGTGCTTGGCACACAGTAGGCATTCAGTAAGAGTTTGTTGAATGAAAGCACAACACCCTTCTTCCCTATGTATGTCTGTTTCTCTCTGTCTCTAATTCAGACTTAATTTTTCTGTCTCAGTAGTCTCTCTCTCTCTCTGTCTCTCTCTTTCTCTCAGGTTTCTCTGTCTTCGTCTCTGTTCCTCACTTAATTTCTGCCTCTGTTTTAGAATCTCCTTGTCCCTCTCTCTGGGCATCCCTGTCTGTCCCTTGTCTCACTGCTCCTCTTTCTCATCCTCTGTCTCTCTTTCTTTCTGTCTCACTCCCAGTCTTTGTTTGTTGAGATCTCTCTCTGCCATCTCTGTGTATCTCTCTGCCTCTCCCTGTCTCGCTCCATCTCTTTTTCGGTGTCTCCGTGAGTTTTTCTTCACCATCCCTCCTCTCGTCTTTCTCAGGACCTCTGAATCTCTCCCTCCACCTCTGTGTCCCTGGCTGGGCCCTGGGGAAGACACTGTGCTAAGCCTTGGTGGGAACAGGGTGGAGATTAGGGAGCTGACTCCTTAATCCCTACGTGGGGACCGCCTATAAGCCTCATCCCAGCCAGCCCCGGGCTCAGCAGAGCATGTCCCAGCTTCCGGATGGCCTTGGGGAAACTCTGTTCAGAGTAGGGCCACCCAGGCCACCTCCGCCTGTGGCCGAGGGGCCAGCCCCACTCTGCCTAAATCTGGCTCAATGCAGCTTGGGATGCCTGCCAGTAAGAAAAGCTACTGTCAGCAGGTTACGAGGTTAGGGCTGGTCCCAGGTTGGGAGGCTCCATCCCTGGAATGGCTACCCCCACTCCAAAGGGAGGATTTCGGGGCAAAGGAATAGTCCAGAAAGAGGGGTGGGAGTGAGGGAAAGAGTCTGAGTCTCCTGTACCTCACATGCACTGCCCATTCTCTCTGTCTCTCTTTGGTCATTTCTGTTCCTTTCTCTTCTCCCTGTCTCCCCATTTCTCAGTCTCTGCATCTCTCTGCTCTTCCGTCTCTGACCGTGTCTTCCTTTGTCTCTCTGGGTCTCTGACTTGTGAGCGGAAAGGGGCGGTTAGAAGCGCAGTGTGTGGGGCCAGCGAGTCTCTGTTCAGACCCCAGTTCTGCCCATTTCTGTGTGCTTCGGGGCAAGTCACTTCACCCCTCTGAGCCTCAGTTTGCTCATCTGTAAAATGTGATACTGATATTGCTTTGCCTCGTAGGGAGAATTAACTGAGGCAGTCAGAACAGTGAGCACCGCGCGAGTGTGAGCGATGGTTATTTCTCAGTCTCTCACTTTGTCCCTGCTTACTTACGCCTCTCTTCGTACCGCTCCCTGCATGTCTTGCAGACTCTCTGTTTGGTATCTCTCCGGGCAGCTGTCTTTTTCTCTGTCTTGGTTTCTCTGCCTCTCTGTCCTCGGCCTGTCTCCAGGAAACCATTTCTCCTACCGTAGCTGCCCTAAGGGAGGGGGTAGAACTAGGAACAGGGAGGTTCTCTTTGCAGCCTGAGCGCCCTTCTCCCCATCCTCAGGGACTGTCCCCCTCCCTTTAACTCAGCCAGGACAAGTGTGAATGTATTATAAAGATAATTTACTAAGAAATGATGCAAAAAGCCCAGAAAAGAGTGTGGAGTGTGTCATGGATCAGGTTCCATGGGTACAACAAGACATACACTTCCCCTTCCCCAGGTCTTTCTCTGCCCTGCAGACCGGGGACAGCTGTGAAGGGTGGGGCATAGGCACGCAGCAGGCGACAGGGAGGGGCAGACAGTGGACGGAGAAGAGGGACAGAGCAAATCCCTAGCGGCGGGTCTCACCGCTCGCAGGCGAATCTGCAAGGACCGGGTGGTCAGCGCGCGCGCAAGCACAGCTGGAAGGGCCGCGGCAAATTGCCGAGACCGGAGCTGAGCGGGCTCAGGTCGATGTCCTCGGGCGCCCCCAGCGGCTGCAGCGAGAAGCTCTGCAGGACGGCGGTGAGGTAGAGGAAGAGCTCCATGCGCGCCAGCGACTCGCCCAGGCACAGTCGGCGCCCTGCGGGGGAGGCGGAGTGGGGAGCAGCGGTGAGATAAGACGGGGTGAAGGGCGGCCACCCCAAATTCCCAGAGGAAAATAGAATATGAAGACAAGAGTTGGGGATGCCACAGACCCACCCATCTAAAGGTCTGGGAAAGCTGCTTTAAGTAAATAGTGGAGCAGAATGGCCTGGCTGATAATGCAAGTGTGACTGCCTGGGTTCGAATCCCGGCTTTGTCACTGCCTTAGTATTATCTCCATTTTACAAATGTGGGTTGTTTTTTTTTTTTTTTTTTGAGACGGGGTGTTGCCTAATCTGGAGAGCAGGGCACGATCATAGCTCACTGGCAGCCTCGAACTCCTGGGCTCAATCAATCCTCCCACCTCAGCCTCCTGAGTAGCTGGGACTACAGGTGTGGGCCACGACGATGCCTGGCTGGTACTTCCTATTTTTTTTTTTTTTTTTAGAGGTGGGGGTCTGGCTATGTTGCCCGGGCTGGTGTTGAACTTCTGGCCTCAAGCAATCCTCCCGCCTCAGCCTCCAGAGTCGCTGGGATTACAGGTGTGAGCCAGCACGTCTGTCTAGATGTGGAGATTGAGGCAC